CGACCTGCCCGCCGGCCGCACGGCCGTGCAGTCCCGTGCCTTCCCGGCTGTGGTTAGTTCCGTCCGTACCCTGGTAGCTTCCCTCGTCCTGCTGACTTCACACTTCCAGCCTCCTGGAGATAACTTCTGCCCTGGCGCTGAGCGCAGCTGCTACTCTTCTGCTGTCTTTCTAGGCGAACTGACACGAACTAATAGAAATCCTACAAATAATTTCTCTAATGAATGAAGTTATAGTTAATAATGTATATAATTATAGAATCATAGAATTGTTTAGGTTGGAGAAGACCTTTATGATACATTTGGGAGACCTTATCACACTGTACAGTTACCTGAAAGGAGGTTGTAGTGAGGTGGGTGTTGGTCTCTTCTCCCAGGTTACTAGTAATAGAAGGAGAGGAAATGGGCTTAAGCTGAGCCAGGGGAGGTTTAGTTTAGATATTTGGAAGAATTTCCTTACTGAGAGAGTGGTGAGACATTGGAATGGATCACCCAGGGAGGTGGTGGAGTCACCATCCCCGGAGGTGTTCAAAAATCATGCAGACAAGGTACTTCGGGACATGGTTTAGTGGTCATGGTAGTGTTGAATCAGTGGTTGGACTTGATGATCCTAGTTCCGACCTTAATGATTCTGTGATTCTATAATAACACACCTCCCATTTCTAGAAGCTCTAGCTTCTATTTGCTTCTTAAAAATTCAGCCATGTAGCACAGAGGTAACTTCACTAAGCTACATATAGTGAATCCCAGTTACTATTCCAGTGGCTTGAAAAGAACTGGAGAAGGACAAGGTCCTGTGTGTGCCATGGGAAGCTTCTCACATCTTGGTGAGGTGGAGCTCTGTGCATGGCTGGTGGGGATCCTGCAAGTGCAGTGTAGTGTTCCCAGAGCTTGAGCCAGGAGAAAATTGCTGTTGAACCAAAGTTCAGCTCCAAAGAGATTTATCCCTATGGCTTCCAAGGGCACAAGAGTATGGTTCGGGTCCAGACAGTGGGGGCTAGCAGTGACGATTTGATACCCTTGAGGAGAAGAGTGCCCTGCAGATGTTTGCAGGAGAAACGTTTATTTGCTAATCCACAAGAGAAAAAAAAATGTTGTCTAGCAGAAATTAGAAGAAAAGAATATCAGGGTATTGTCCTGAGGGATTAAAGCAGAGGACATGACAGGTTTTGTGACAAACAACTTGAAATGCATGGCATTACCTCATCATTTTCTATGCATCTGTAAGATTAGCAAACCACCTCCTGTGTGCATCTTCAGTCCTGCCAGAGGTCCCTACCCCTGCTTGCAGAGAGTTGTTGCTCCGGGAGCTCTGTCAGTAAGCACTTGACTTTTCAACAGACTCATGCTTCCTTTGTTGTCTGTTGTTTGCAGAGATGGTTGTATCAAAGCTGTGGGCCAGGCGGATGTTATTCGTGAGCAGTTTTCAGGAGCAACATTTGAAAGAGTAATTGACTGCTCTGGGAAATGTGTGTTACCAGGTAGGTGTATTTTTCCATTGTGATACAGTGCCAAATTGGTGGCAAGTGCCTAGAGACAAAGTAAATTTCTGTTAAACATCCTTCTGTCCTTTTTCCTCTGAGTTCAGTCCTGGTTTGAGAACATCTTGTGCAGAGTATCTTGGAGGTAGAGTATGGTAGCTTCCTCACTGGGAGTGCTGCAAAGACAAAACAGCACTCAGGATGCTTTTTTGGGCTTCTTGGTGGACCTCTGTCCCCTCTGGGTTCATCGTACATCTGTTGCTCTGTATCGCAGATCACAATGGTAACATTGATGGCCTGCCAAGTGACTTTTCAGAGTTACCTCTATTTTCTCTACCATTTCCACCCACCAGCTGTTCAGCTGTGGCGCTCAGTCTCTCTGCCCTGCCTACAGCTGGTTGGAGGCAAAAGGGCAGCGCAGGGTTTTAAGTCACATACTCTGCAGCTTTACCTGGCAAAAAAGTAAACATGGGCATGTTAAACTTTACAAGTGGTGTTAGCACATGAGCTGTCTGACCCCTGTTTCATTTGCAATGTCCTTGAGCCTTCAGTAGCGTTGGTTTCACAGCTCCTCAGAAAAGCCCCCACTGGAGTATGTGGGCTTTTGCTAGAGGAAGTGCTACTGTACTAAGCACTTTGCTTTCTATAAAAACAGACTAACAAACAACAGTCTAACAAACTCTTTCAATGTTTGTAATTTATAACTTCTTCCACAGTTTGAAAACGTAATCAAAACAACCTGAGAAACCAGTAACTGATGCATTTTCCTATAGATGTTTGGCATAAGGTGTCAGCCAGTACACCTAAAAAATTTGAAAGAAAATTAATAGCCTTTAACGAAAACCCTAGATTTTTGGCTGGTTGGATTTTGCTTTTTCTCTAACCAGCAAGGTTTACAGGGAATCTTTTGCTGTCCATTTAGTTTGCTTGTATGTTCATAACCTTTTTATCTTACACAGTGAAATAATCTGAGTATACATTTACTTTGTTTTCTTTAGGTCTGGTAGATGCACATACACACCCAGTGTGGGCTGGTGATAGGGTACATGAGTTTGCAATGAAGGTAATGACATACAGAGCTGGATTTTTCTTCCTCTTTTTATGCATAACTATTTCTACTTTCTAATGACTCCCATTTTACACCTGTAGAAAAATATGTCATTTCTGTCAGATAATCTGAAGGAGAAGGGATGATGATTGATTTTTGAATACTGGTAGGCTGAGAGGGGAGTGTAGCTGCAGCCTTTGCAGCCAGCCTTGACGTATTTTTGCATTAACTAAAGGAATACAGAAGTGCTGCCTTCTATTACCGTCTAAATCTTGACATTTTTTCTCCCTTTTTTTCCCATGTAAATTAATTTTTGAGCTAGGGATAGGTTTTCCTCTTGGATTTAGGGGGAAGCAATCTTCAGAGTAATTCTTTTTGTGCTGCTTCTTATGTTTTTTTCATTTAAGGGGAGAGAACAGGAGGGTAAGGGAGGAAGAATTAATGAGGATTTTCCCTCCCTATTCTTCTCACTCTGAAGAGACCTCAAGGCACTTTCCAGAATCTCTTGGATAGAAAATCTGCATTTAATAGCTAATTGTATGGGGGTTGTGGGGGGTGGTGGGGTGTGTTTATTTTTCTTCCCTAAGCTGGCAGGTGCATCCTATATGGAGATCCATCAGGCTGGGGGAGGAATACATTTTACTGTAGAGCACACTCGGAAGGCCACGGAAGAAGAGCTGTTCAACAGCTTCAGACACCGCCTGGAACGCATGTGCAGAGCAGGGTCTACGCTGGTGGAGTGCAAGAGTGGGTATGGCTTGAACTTGGAAGCAGAGCTCAAAATGCTCAGGGTGATAGAACGCGCCAAGCAATCCATGGATATTGGCATTTCTTCAACCTACTGTGGAGCTCATTCTGTGCCGAGGTAATACGGCCTCATTTTGCTTGCTGTTCTCAAGTATTAGTGCTTTGTATTGAAAACTGGATGTTATTTTCACAAAGTTTTCTTCTGCCCAGCCCTCCTAAAAGATATTTGAAACAACAGCCAGTATAATTAGGAAGAGACAAGAGGTCAATTCATGGCTCTAGGGCTGGTGTCACCAACAGGGGTTTGGTTTTTATAATCACGGCTCGGTTTACATGGGACCAGAGCTGCAAACAAAAAATGGGACCCATTTGTCCCTGAGGGGGTAAAGGATCCTGGGGCAGAAATTGGCAGGGCTCATTGATAGGGCTTTAAACTAGATTCGAAGGGGGGAGGGGTTAATAGTCTCCTGCTGGCTGGTAATAATCAGTGGGGCAGCTCGCCAGAGAGATGGAGAGGTAGTAAGGG